TTTTTTTTTTTTTTTTTTTTTTGCTTTATGACAATCATAAAAAACCAATATTACTTAGTGGGTTTCATGTGACGTTGTCATATAGTATCTAATTTCTTTTGGATTAATTTAAGCGAAGTGGGGAAATAGGTGTAGTACAATATCATGTGTAGATTTTTGTGTAAGCGATATCAACTTATTATTACTGCTCAATTTTGAATATGACACTAAGGTCCTTCTTCCAAATTATTATTTACGTTGCTTTATTTTTAAGATGTATTAGCCATTTAGTCTACCCTATGTATTATATGTACTTTTTAAGTTTTTATAAGAAAACATTTAGTACTACAATAGTATTTATGAACTTTCGGCAAAGCAATATCACATTATCTCCACCACTAGGTGGTAGGGAGTGGGGTAGGATTACAGAGACGGGGCCAGAGTATGAGATACGGGTTCGACTGAATCAACAACTTTTGTTTAAAATTATATATTGGTCTTAAAAATTCATTGAATATGTACAAATATTAATTTAGAACTTAATAATTTAAAATAATTATTATCTCAAATTCATAACATTCAAATCCTGACTCCGATTCGGCCCAGGAAATACAGGGACAGAAGCTAATATTGTTTTAACTTTTGGTAAGCATCTAAGAAAGGGATCAATTGCTCTTATTTGTGATCATATTTGAATATCATTGTCCCTATTAAAGATTATTATATCAGATGAAATAAAGGAAGACTTTAAAAGCTGGATTCCATTGCTTTCAAGCACTAGTATAGTTTTTTAATATCCTATAATAAGAATGCCAATAACATTGGTTTCCTCTCGTTTTGAAAGATCTTATCCTTATTTTGTACTAAACGAAGAATCTTGTAAATAAAATCGAAACAAGGTAAAAATATGTTTATCCTCAAAATTGGATAACAATTGAATTTGTACATAGTTTTAAGGATATGTGATTTAACTTGATACAAAACGAGAAATCAGATTAATGTTGAAATAAGCAATGAAAAAATAAATGCAAACCACACAAGTTGAACGATCTTAGCCTTGAAGGTTAGCTACGCTTGTGTCAGAAATGCTTTTATCGGTACCGGAACAAAATAATAAAATAATGAGAACTAGAAATAATAATATATTGCTTTGTGATACATGTTACAAAACATATCCAATATCTTATCCTAACGTTACTTAGAACCACAATGACAATTAAGTTATTATATTTTGGAAAGAAACACAACATTCTTTCATCTCAAATAATTTAAATTTTAATTGTATTGATATGTGTAGTTTCTACGTATATAGATTTGCTTTTTAAGGAGAGGCGAACCTACTTTTTGGGGTAACGGGATCACCGCCCCGGGAATTTCGAAAAAAATGTTTGTATATGCAGAGACGTTTTAATTCTATTCGTTCAGCATTTACGGTTCTTAGTATTGAATCTATTATATTTTTAAAGTTATGGGTTCAAACCTACTATATGTTGTAATTTTAGTGAATTTTTACATTAAATTTATACTTTGTGTTGAAAGTAATGGATTCAGATATACCGGATACTATAACACTACATACGCCTATGTGTATATATTTTAATTGACACCCTAGAGGAGCACAACTTGACTTTTAGTGATTGCTTGGATTCGATTCCAGCTCTAATATTTGCTCTAATTTTTATTCGACAATGATACTCTCATCACTTTCAAATCCTAGATCCGTCAATGCTTTTAAGAACAATCTAATGGGTTTGATATTATAATGGAATTTTAGCGAAGTTAGAAACATAGAACAATTTTGCGAACACTAGTAGGACTTTACAAGAAGCTGAATATAACCACTTTATTTTTTATGTTTCATGAAAAATCTGCTAAAAATGTTAAAAAGTGCAATCCTTTAACAAAACAGTTCTTATAAAAGAATTTCTTAAGCAAAAAATTCACCTTAGCAATCAATCGAGTTTGTCAAACATTTAATTTGGTAGAAAAGAATATAAATAAAGGTTGGTGTGCGATATTGCTGAATTCGTTTTTTTTTTTAAAAATTTTCCTGTCATCACAATTAAAAAAGGAAAACGTTAAATTCCATTGTTTGTTACGCCGTTCTACCTTGTCAATGCAAAAATAATTATATGGTCTCTGACACTTTAAACACTGTCCTTTATTCCACCGATCATTTGTCCTTTCCCGGTGAATTTGATTAATTATTTAAATCCACTGAATATTATATTAGCTACTTTAGTTAATCATTTAAAAAACAAACAAATGTTTTAAACACGGATTAGTAGAAAAATATTGTAGTTTCCAATATAGAAATGGTTAGGTTAGATTCCGGAACATGTTTCTTATTGTTGGAATTTCTTTTCTGCTAAAAGGATTCATCCCATTGTCTTTAGTGTCATGTTAGCAGACATCCGATATAGAAGAAGAATAATAGTATAACTTAATCGTGTTTATATTAAATTAATAGACATAAATGTGTTTTTGCACATAGACTTTTTTCTTACTTAATTATGATTAATCAGTGTATACTTTTATCTCATCAAATCGTTTAACTGGAACAAATTGATATGATTTAGTTTAAGTATCAACTGCGAGTAAATGTAGAAGAATTTTGTTTGGTTTGTAAGGATTGAAAGGAAGTAAGGAACAGAGGATCCTTCCGGTAATATTATGAAAATTTTATCGATCGGTCATGCTAGAGACATAAATAGTCATGAATAATTTAATTATAAGATCCTTTAGGATAAACTACGAGAATCATATTTATTCTCTTTCGTTTTGTTAATTGTTGAAATAATTGGGAAAAAAATGAGGCAAAATTTCATCATCCAGTCGAGAACAATTTCGGTGTTTTACTACGATAAAAATGTGCTCTTAAAAGGAAATATGTTACACCACATGATAAAAAACAACTTACAGATATAAAGAATTGCAGGACATATTTCAAATGGACTAAATTGAAGATCGCCATAACAGAAGTAGAAGAAGGATGTGACAACTATATATGTAACATAAATTCAATTCCTCTTCTTCCCTTTTTCATTGTTGCAATCAAGTATAGATTATATTTATACGGGTTTTACGCGTTAAACCACTAGTAGTTATACACCAATACATTTACAACACTTCTCTTACAATTTTTGAATATCAAAATTTATTTTATAATAGTGTATATATATATATATATATATATATATATATATATCAAATTTAACTATGGAAATAGGCAAAAGTTTTTTTTTCGAAAGTGAACAATTTTGTTTCAACCAAATATAAGTGTAAACAACTACTAGTTATAATTGACTCTGGAACTAATTCTCTTCACTAAGCGACGATCTATCTAATACACTTAAACGTCTCTATAATAATTTCGTCTGTTTCGATACTTTTTTGTTACTACAGTAAAATGTTGTTATAGAGAACTTATATTATAATATAACATGAATAATTGGTTCTAAAGAAAATTTGACCGTTATAATTGTTTACCCGAAAAATGGATAAAGTTGAATTTATACGTAGTTCAAAGGATATGTGGCGTAACTTAATACAAATTGTAAGGATAAATAGAAATATATGGATTGCAAAGAATGCGAAATAGATAAAGTTGTAAAGAAAATGTATCTTAGGGACTCAACAAGTAGAATCACTTTTAGAAACCTGAAAGAACAATTCTTTACTATCGGAGAATATAATATTTTTATTACAATCTATGCCTCACAAAAGCTTGCCCTCTCATAAATGATAACCATGCCCTTTATAATAGAGGGACCTTGCTCTAAGCATAATAAAAAAATACTCAGTGGGAGACCCATGATAAATCAGCTTTTTCACAATTTCTGCCAAGATTCTCGCTAGTGGGATTGCAACGGCTTTTGTCTGTGAGCTCGATCTTGCCCCGAGCCCTCGATCTTGGTTTGAGCTCGATTCTGACTCGAGCTCTCGATCTTGGCTCGAGCTCGATTCTGACTCGAGCTCTCGAATTGATTCGGGGTCAATGTTGGTTGGTCTCTGGATCATAAACATGATAGCTTTACTCTGCGTCATAGTTCGAT